GTCGTGTACGTGCGGAGTCTTGGAGGTTTGTCGCGGTTGTCTTCAAACATGGCAGCGAGGCAAGGGATGACGATAGCTTGATACTTCACAGATGTGCGAACATCATGTATACTTCACACGAATGGCACACGTACGACCGTTCAATGGATGGAGACTTGGTGTCGTTGATAGAGTACACTGGCATGAACTGAAAGGATACAGGTACATTAGAAGCCGCAGTACTCCACTAGGCTGTTCAAACACGTCGTAAGAGGCGCTGATGGCGATACCTCTTCCACTCTCGTAGGCTTGTTCACACTTGACCCCATGCCCTTTGTGTCGCGTTGTGCGCCCAGTGGCCGAACCTGCTGCTCCGATATGGCTGCTTTTTGGTTCCGCGATAGAGCGGTCGGGCGTGCAGGGGATGTATCACAGCGGCGATTCGGCAGATTGTGCTCCTTCGAACCTAGTACGCATACGTTAGCCATCGCACATGAGACTATCATGTATAGCGAGCCGTTAATTACCATGTCTGAACTCATGAAAGCCGTGGTACTTGTGGTTTCAGGATGCCAAACCGGTGACCATTTTATTTCGCCGGAGCTAGACAGCTTCAGCTTATGGAATACGCCCAATAGATGATGAACCTACGGAGGGGTTTTGGTGGAGTGATCGGAACCTTGGTACGCGACATCGTATGTAGCGTGGTGACCGGTTGTTGCATGATGCTAGCCATGGAAGTCTGTGAAAAGTCCTCAGTCATTCGTCTGCTTGTCGGATAGCGCTCGAAGAATGGGACGGAGAGTGACACTAAATTCCAGCTTTTATGTTGGAGCCAGCGGAACGGACGAGCGTGGAAGGCACAGTTAGTTGTATGACAATGTAGCGAGATCGCATCACAACGTAGCAGGTATCGCATTACAACGTAGGGAGACCGCTTGACAACGTAAAGAGATCACGGCGCGAAGTGTGTCTCAAACAACGACCAACATCGTGGACGACTAAAAGTGGTGGGATGGTGCCGGACATGTACCCTAGTAGACATGCTTTCGACTCCCGTGGCTTCAATCAGGCCCAAGATGTGCTGCACGGAAGCCGTTGAGGTTCGTTCGAAGATCCAGGACGATATTGACGCGATACCAAACCCAAGATCTGCTGCACGGAAATCGCAAGAAGTTCGTTCAGAGGGTTCGACGAAGTGATCATGTGATTCCACACCGCTTCCTCGTTGCATTTGTAAATGCAAAAAGCGATAACGTTTTTTTTCCACACGGCTCATGGCTTCCAGAGTTGTGGTGGGTGATATCAGGAGTTGATCTGAAAGATAGGCTCCTGTGACCCGACGAGCTCATCAGTGCGTTCCAAGGGATAAAATCCGACAGAACGCTAGCAGCGCACGGGCCACAACAATTGATCGCAGCTGCGATACTTGCCTAGGGCTTCTTGGCATACCCCACCGAGTTGAAAACATTGCTTTTAGCGAAACAACTTACGTCATAGTATTGAGTTTGCAGTCTGAGTCGTGTACTCTATTCTTTCCGTTATCCTTTTGCTCCCGGGGCCGCCCAGCGAACCTTCCAAGTTTAAAAAATCGCTTTTCGCGAACAGCCTACGTCATGGGATTGATGAGAAGGATGACGATCAGACCTCAGGGCTATATTCAGTAGCTAAGAAATTGCACAGTGTACGTTAACTGTTTGAAGGCCGATGTCGCATGACCTGGCCGTGCATGAGGTGGCCCTAGCACCTAGCTCACACACCGCTGTCGCTTCCGTAATCAATCGCTTTCACGCTTCGCTCCTATGAAGATACCTCCCACCGCGAAGAAGGCTGCCGTAATCGCAAACATGTCGTTACGTTTCGGCACCGGGACGCACACCACCATGAGGAGCGCAAGCAGAATACCAAGCACACCGAGTACAACGATACGGGTCTTCTCGGATTCGATGCAGCTCAGAATGCCCAAGCATATTGCTAGGAACACTGGTACATATATCCCGGTGAGTATGTTGGCGACCGTTTGTATCTTGTCAAGCTCAAGGTACTGCTGAGGTGCAACGCCATCCTCAAGGGTTCGTTGTCTTAGGACGCGAGTGATCAATCGCGTCACGTACATATTGACTGATTCGAGGTGCCGAATAACGAAAGCAGTCAACATATCCTGCTCATCTAGGTCGCCGTCCTTGAAAGAACATGTATCGGCATGCGACGGAACCTGGGTGTACATGGCCGCCTTCTCCTTGGTTGGTCCAAACAGATCATTCTCAAACAAAGTCTTTCGGGCTGCGAAATGTCGAGCATAGACATCGGACTGGTGAGGCAAGTTGGCAACATGGGTTGCGAGACAGAGATCTTCGCCTGCATCGCCACCGTCAGCACGATCTTTGGCACACAGAATCGGCCAAAACCTACTGTATTGCCGGACCGAGATCTTTAAAACGTCAAGTTTCGATCTCAAGACTGGATGCTCGTGCAGGTGGTAGGCCTGGTGATAATCCAGGAGTGTGCGGACGGTCCAGCCAGGATTCTCCGCGCCAATGGTCTCGATGAGTTCATCACATTCCCGGCGTAGCTTATCGATTTCCCCCGTTTCGTTGTACAGTATCCAAGTCCACAGGTCCAGGTGTCTTCGGAACTTTGCAAGCTCTGGGTTCTCTACAATCTCGCCGTACAGGACGGAGTAGCGGCGCGGAGCCCCTTGCATGATAGCCGGAGTTCAGTAGGATCCCCAATGCAGCAATATCGATTCGGCAGGTTTGATCTTGTTCGAAGCTATCTCGGATCGAGGAAAGATAAAAAAGAGTAGGCAGCAGGCTGGTCAATTCGAGCCGTGAATTGATCGCATTGCGGAGACCCATGAGTCAGGAAATCGATCTCTATATACCCTGTCCGCTCTGCCTCATAATAGATACCAACAGGATGACCACGACCTTGATTCTGCCTTCCACCACATAGCATACACCGTTGCTACTGCCTTGCAGCAATGCAAACAAGGGCCAATATGGCATCGTCATTCCAATCAACAAGCAGATATCCATTACGGGCTTCGTCTCGAGTCTACATGCGTCGTGACGGTTGTTGTCACCAAATCAAACATGTACACAGAATAGTAGTCCTTTCACCGGATGCCACGCCATCAGCTTCAGGATTCCGAATCAGGGCTGAGCAAGCTGATTGGAGGCCCATTGAGTCTGCCGACTGGCGGTTAAGGCAGGGGCTTAGCAATCAGAAATCATCATCGCGACATTGCCGGATAGAACGTCAACCGCCGCCCAACTCCTCTACTAATTGAGCTCGGCGGTCGAGCATATTAAAAGATGAAGAAGACATTTCCGTATATTTCAGTGGTAGACAGCAGTATGAAGGTAATGATCTGAGATTCATCTGCGCGCTTCTCCAGCAGATCAAGGGCTGAGTCTCTCGATTCGTTGCGGGCCCGCGGCGCATCCTTGGCTCACATCCTTCGACCCCCACGCTTGATTTGGCAAAAGAGCAGCGTGCCCGAGGTGGACAAATCACCACAAGCTGTGTGCATCACTCATTTCTATAGACATAGGCAAAGGCAACAGCTCAAATGCGTTGTCAACCTCAAGACCATCAAGGCGATTCTTCCGGCTTTGATCTTGCTGGCGCAGCGCATGTCCTGCACGCCACCACCGGCGATGCCGGCCAGCATAAATTCCCAGGCAACAGGTTCGATGTCTGCTCCTTCAGCACTTCAATGTAGGCGAAATGTCTAGGGCTACGGACTTGGCCGCATGCTCAAGGTTGAAAAAAGAGGTGATTGGCTTGAGTTCCAAATTCGACTAGACCGCAGACCACGCATCATAGCGCGTTCACTCGAATGCCAGCTCCTGGGACTTACCAAAGAACGGACCATTCAAGCATCAATCAACAAGCGATCCGAGAAAAAAAAGAGCCATTGCATGCGAAATGCGAGCTTTCTTCTATCTTCTCCTTAACAACTATTTTCGTATTTTCGAGCTAGACATGAGAAGAAAGACGGCAAGCACTCCGGCGTTATTTCTAGACCTTCAAGTCGGGTTCTCCCTCTCCTGGGGCTAACCCGGGTCAACGGCAGAGCTGCATTAGCTAACCGAGCAATACGCATGGGGCACATCAGGCTATCAGTGTACGAAACGTGGCAAGGCGACGCTAGTTCGGAATCGAAAGCACCTGCATGTAGCACAGAAACCGGTGAGCCTGATCGGCGCGCGCGCCATGGTTTGGAAGGCATAGAATACGTAGGGTAATGTGTGTAGATAACCTGCGTTCTCACCGCTTCGACTATGATGTCTTCCTTATTGCTGTTTAATATTGAGTGCTGCTCAGATAACTTCGATGACATAGCCTTGCTCCGCGCTCCGATGCCGTCATATGCCAGATGATCATTGGATGGGATCTCAGTGGCTAGGTTCAGTATTGATACATGAGCTTATCTACCCTGATGCCAGGCGTACACAGCTCTAGACGCACGGTAAGGCTGATCCAATGGTTCAGCCGCATGTCTTGACTAAACAGTAAGAGAAGGATGGAAGGCGGGGGTCTTCACTATCAAGCAACTCTAGTTCAGAAAACTGTTGAGCGCATTATATACAATTATAAGAATGCAGGTACCTTGTTACTCACCTTGTTTCCTGCCGTAAAGTCTCGTACGTTCTTTGTAGAGGAAATCGAGCTGGAAACAATAGATTTAGGTAATCAGGATTGTAATCACTACTTTTGTAAGATTAGACAAGAGCAGCGCAATATATATAAGCGAGCGCGTAAAACACTAGTACAAAAGAGAGAAAGCACGTAATTGACCTAACAGGTGCTTGAACACCTGTTGCGACATTCTTGAAGTCAGCAATAGAAATCCAAACCTTGCATCTCATTCGCTCTAGAAGTCTAGTGCTTGTGGCAAGAAGTAACAGTGCTGAATAAAATTGTTGATTGAGCAATGGTATACAGCTAAGAACGTATAGAAAGCACATGCTAGCTAGTAAAAGAAACTATCGCAACCGTTATATAGTGCTTCTCTAAGCAATCCAGTACCAGATCTTCTGCATAACGTTCTTCGGCACAGGTGCACCGGTGATATCGTCCTTGCACAACTCGTTCATCTCTCGCACACCTGTTATAACATCAATGTGCTCGACCTTGATTGCAAATGGCGTCCTAAAGTAGATCTTGTGGCCAGCGTAAAGTACGATGAAGATCGGGATGGTGATATAGGCGGCAAGGAAGTCGGAAACGGCCCAGTTGGCAGGCACGAAGACCTGGAAACCGTTGGTCAGAGTCAGGAGCGAAACTACGCCGAGAACAAAGTATGTAAGATATGGCTGGAACGGTGTGCGGTAGGGCAGAGATTCGAGCAAGTTGTGAAAGATCATCGCCTTGCGGAAGCGGATGTACGTGATCATGACGACGATCCAGGCAATGAATCCAGAGATGGTGGAGATATTGGAGAACCACAAGAAGACCTGGGCGCCAGTGCTAGAGACATTCAGGTATGCGAGAAGTCCAATGGCCCATGTAGCGAGAACAGCCACATATGGTACACCTTTCTTGCTGGTTCTGCCGAAGATCTTAGGCGCTTCTCCGTTGAGAGCCATACCATACAAGACACGAGATCCAGAGAACAAGAAAGCGTTTCCGGCAGACCATGCCGATGTCAAGACGGCCGCATTAACGACGTGGTTCAGACCTACGATTCCCGCACGCTGGATACCAATGACGAAGGGAGAAGCGGAAGCGTTGGAGCTCTCGCTGAGGAGGCGATCATCGTCTGATGGGACAATAACACCGATGATGAAGCTACCCAGACCGTAAAAGATGGCGAGACGGTAAACGAAGCGGCCAGCAGCCTTGGGGATGTTCCGACGTGGGGCAATCGTCTCTCCGGCGGCAAGCGCAATCAATTCAGGCGAAGTGATGAAAGCGAATCCGGCACGAACGAACGCAGTCCAATAGGCCAGGAAGCGCCCGGAGTTCCCTTCCACGATGTACGGTTTGAAAGCTCCGGGATTGTTCCAGTACCTGAACCCGAGCCGGCCTTGATCGTTTGGGCTGCCACCTAGCATGATCACAAAGCCGAGAATAACGAGACCGATGATGGTGATAAACTTGATGGAAGCGAACCAAAACTCGGCTTCTCCGAAAACCTCGACTGCGACGATGTTGAGGAACAAGACCACGACCAGGAAGATGGTGATCCAGACAGCATTGTGGACAGGCGTCTCCCAGTACTCGACAAGGATTGCTCCAGCTGTAGCTTCAGCGGCCACTAAAATCGCGTAGGCGTACCAGTAATTCCAACCAGCGGCGAATGCGAGACTCGGGTCTACGAATCGCTTGATGAAGTAAGGGATAGTGATACCGCGCATGGGAAGGTAGGTGACGATTTCAGCCAAGTTGTTCATAACGTTGTAAACAACAAGCATCATACTGAGGTAAGCCATGAACAAGGGAGCAGGACCGACAAGGGCTAGGATAGATCCAGATCCGATGAAGAGACCTGTTCCGATAGCACCACCAAGCGCACTGGCAAGGTGTTAGCGATTGGTTCAGCGACACAAAGAGAATGCGGACTTACAGAAACTGGATGTGTCGACTCTTCAGTCCACGATGTGTGTCTCCTCCTCGTCCAGTCTCACCACCAACAGTAGCGGCGCCATGAACAAACGGCTCCTCAAAGCCAACTTGACTCTCGTCGTAGCCATACGGCACAGCCTCAGGCTTCTCGTCGGCCATGTGGTGGTTCGGCATGGTTAACACGAGACAGAAGGAAGGCTTGGTCGGCGGTACCAATCTTGCTTTCGCCTTAGGGGGATGCCTAGTGGTTATATAGATGGGATGCCAAAGGCGGCTGAAGAATGCGCCGGCAGTGATAGCAGATTTTGTAACAAATGTGGTGTATGGGCCGGCGCGAGAGGAGGATTATTCCACGTTCGCGGTTCGGACCTACCCAAACATGGTACGGCTTCGGTGGCCAAGTCCTTATCGAACGTATGGGACGATAGTAGCCCAGACCCTTGTCAGAACGGGTTCTGGGAACCAATTATCGTTGGCTAGTGCAAACTACCGGTAGGAAATGCGGGGAAAAATACCTCGAGCGCTGTGATGGTTGCAGCCCGTTACTTTACTCGTATGATGACGTCCCCTCTGAGCGGCGCGCATTCCTTCGGTTTTACTTGCTTGCGCCACGGGCACTGTTCATCTGTTGGGGTTTCAAGACGCGCCCTACGTGCGGAGTGAGGTGATAAGAACTGAGCCGACGTAAACCGTGCATATTGTGTGCATGAGGCTCAAACTGGGCGTGTCCAGAGCCCGGACAAGCTTTTGGAGATATGCTTAGAAGCCTTAGCGCTCGAGGTACCCGCCGCTGGTTTGCGAGCTGGGTCTGGGTAGAAATGGAGCTGATCATGGGGCGCATGGAGAGTGCACTGACTGACAGTTAACTGCAAAACCTGGAGATCGCGGGGATGGCGGTTCGTGCTTCATCCGGCGGCGCTGTTATTTGGTCCCACCGGACAAGTCTCCGATGAAACCAACCAAGACTGTATGCGCCGTATGGGAATAGACGCAGTAGCTCGACATGTTGGTACCTATTCGCTTAGAAAATCTTGACATTCAACCGCAATACTATTAGGCCTCCCTTGTTATCATCATGTGCTACTGTTATCTCCAGCATTCGTACCATTGAGGTTTTCAAACGTGACACTTTTACCCAGGCAGGATCTCAGAAGCTTGGACGTCGCTTCGAGGATGCTCACTGCGGGTCTCTTGTGGGTACATCATCCGTAGGGCCATGATGGCGCGACCCACTGTCATACCAGACGTCAATCTAGCAGCTTTAGCATGTACTCGGATTTCTGAGTGAAGGAAGCCTTTCGCATCTCATCCTAGTACTTACTTACTTGCCGACCTTCAAGAAAAAGCTGGCTGTCAGCTTCGGTAAACGTCAGTGCGGTAACACTGCGCGGGCGTCCGACACGGCTGGTCCTGCAATCCTGCGCACACCAACATGTGGGTCTCCTGATACCATTCAGTCCACCCGCATGCCCTTTTGAAGGCAGGTAGCAACACACGCCATGTACTCTTAGAGCACACTCATCTCTGTCTTTAAACACACATGACCCATGACATCGCGCAGGGGCGAGTCCCATGCTTGGTCATGTAAGCTTACAACAGCCCAATATCCTTTACAGTCGATCATATCTCAAAACGTAAGTTGAGTCGTTCTCACGGGCCTGTCGAGTTGGTTGGGTCAAGCTTCGAGGGTGCTTGGAAGGAACAATAACCCCTCACCAAGCTTTCTGCACCTGCCCGCGGCAGGAAGCGAAGGCGCGGTGATGACACCATATGCGCGCGTCGCGAACGTCATACCGCAGACGTGTATGCACGCGCTTCGAAGCTACAATCCCCGTCGACTCTAGGAACTAACATAAAGCATCAATCGGAAAGTTCGCGATATGATTTCGCAGGCTGTGATCGACAAAGTTCTCTCCAAAGCGCAGGAGACTGCGTCACATAGCTGGGAGTACGGCACCGTATTTGAAGCGCTACTCGAGTACAGAGATCCTCGTTACAGCATCTTTCATGACCCATTTCCAGGGGGCAAGATACCAGAATTGACGGTTGAGGATGTAGAAGCGTTGCGGTATGTGAAACCGTTCATACAGACGAATAGCACGAGATTGTGTGACGGCAACGGTAAGCCATCTGATATTGGCCGCGAAGAAGGTATATTAACGATAGCGACTAGGTTCGTCGTCCGATCCAACATCTCTTTGCATTCCCGCCTTGTTGGTTTACAAATCGACAACCTCCCAAGCGTCTGACAATCCTTACCTTTCCGCTGTAGATCGTCAGCTGCACGACCTGCTCGCCACCACGCCCAGGTACACCAATGGCGCAATTTCGCATCGTGATGCATACCCTTCTTTGTGGGCAGACTTCATCTACATGGTGCCGCCTGCTATTGCATACCACGGTGTCGTCACCTCAGATACAGGCATGGTGAAAGAGAGCGTACAGCAGTGCCGGCTATACTGCGAGGTGCTGGGCACGTCGAAAGGGTATTGGCGACATATCGCCAATGACGAAGGCACAGACAGCGTAAAGAGCGATGACGGCGCGTGGTGTACGAGCAATGCCTGGGCTGCAGCTGGGATGACTAGGGTCCTAGCAACATTGCGCAAATCTCAATATCAATCGGAAACCGCTGATGAGCAGAGTACGCTACTGGATATGACCAAAGACATTCTTGACGGCGCGATAGAGGCTGATACTGATGCATCCGGCCTGTTGCGCAACTATCTCGATGACGAGACATGGTTTGCAGAGGTTGCTGGGACAGCATTAATGGCAGCTACGGTCTTCAGAATGGCAGTCCTCGAGCCTGGCACATTCGGGGAACGGTATGTAGGATGGGCGACGCGTAAGTTGGAGTCCGTTAGTCGCCATCTAGATGAGGAAACTGGTGTTGCGGCACCTGTGGTCAACTCACTGAAGGAGGGTCAGCGGACACCGCTCAACGGTATCAATCCGGAGGGACAGGCTTTTGTCGTATTATTATACGCTGCATGGAGAGACTGGAGGACTGCTGCAGATAATGCATCAATCGCGATGACCGGAATTTACGCGTCGAGGACATGAGCAGCGCGTGCGGCAGTGGTTCGCGTCACTTGTACCTCGGCAAATCCGACTCCTCACGTCAACCATGACTCGCCGGCATGCAATGGAAGCCATGCCTTCAATCACGGAGTACGTGACACACATAAAACTGCATCTCGCGACCAAGGGGTCAAACTGCGCCGTCTTGCAGTGAATCCCATAACACGACATGACGTCCACCAATACCCCCGTGATCATCGGCGTAGGCGACATCAAGAACCGCTCCACCGCCATCGCGGATGCGAAGGAGCCCGCAACATTGGTGCTAGAAGCCATCCAAAAGGCCATTAGCGACACTGCATCTCTTTCGAAGACTGATCTGCAGTCAGCAATCGACAGCATCGATGTTGTCAAGACGTGGACTTGGCCGTATCCAGATCTACCCGGGCTTTTGGCAGAGAAGCTGGGCATTGATCAGAGTCTGAAATGGAAGAGATATTCCGAACATGGAGGCGACAAACCAGGAAAGCTCTTCGACGAGGCTGCTAAGAGGATTGCAACAGGCGAATGCAATGTCGCGATTGTAACTGGAGGTGAAGCATTAGCTTCGTGTATGTACCGCATGCCTTTCCACCGTCTCCACTCATCGCTAATTGTACCAGTATCCGCGTGTGCAGCTGCAAAGAAGCTTCCTCCACCAGGCTGGACAGCTCCGTCCGAAGCCGTAGATTCGGTTTTCACACCAACAAGTCGCGACCTAGGAAATAGTGCGGTTTCCTCTCTCTGGCAGACCCTTTCTTCTACTGACTCTGGCAAAGACCTCGGAGCTATTCACAAGATTGGTGCGCCAATACATGTCTACCCACTTTACGAAAATGCGTTCCGTGCGCATCGCGGGCAGACGCTGAAGGCAAACCACGAAGAGAGTGCAAAGCTGTATGCTGAATTTGCAGACGTCGCAAAGAATAATGAGTACGCATGGAGACAAGGAACTGCAAGTAGTGAAGAGGACATCAAGACTATTGGGAAGAAGAACAGGATGATATGCTATCCTTGTTGGTCTCACCTTTTTCCGCATTAGGAACGGACGCTTACATCACACGCGCAGATCCCCTGCTTATGAACGCCTTCAACACGGTTAATCTTGCCTCTGCAGTCATCCTTACATCGACTTCCTTCGCCAAAAGGTTAGGTGTTCCCGAGTCGAAATGGGTTTATCCGCTTGGCGGCGCGGGAACGAAGGACGACGATGAGTTCTGGAAACGACCGAACTTCTACTCTTCGCCCAGTATATCGCGCTCTATCGATGCGAGTTTGAAGACATCTGGTACGACCAAAGAAGAGATGGATATAGTTGATATATACTCCTGCTTCCCTATCGTGCCTAAGATTGCGGCGCAGCATCTAGGAATACCTGTGGTTGGTCGTCAAAAGCCATTGACGATACTTGGTGGTCTGACATCGTTTGGCGGAGCTGGTAATAACTACTCGATGCATGCGCTCACTGAGATGACGCGACAGCTGAGAGACGGCAAAGGCCAGAAAGGACTGGTGCTCTGCAATGGCGGCGTTCTGAGCTATCAGTACGTCGTGATATTGTCGAAAGAGCCTAGAAGAGAAGGAAACTATCCGACAGAGAACCCTCTACCGCCGCAAATTACTGATGTGCCCGCGCCCGAGCTCGTTTTCGACCCAGAGGGCGAGGCTGTTGTCGAAACTTACACCGTAGAGTTCAACCGAGACGGCAGCCCGCTTCGAGGTCACATTATCGGTCGCTTAAAGAGCAGCAACAAACGTTTCCTCTCGAACCATGGAGATGAAAGTACATTGCGACAGATGGCTAGTGGTGCGGTCGAGATTGTGGGTAAAAGCGGATGGGTTTGGCAAGATGGTGAGAAGAAGGGGAGGTCGCTGTTTGCTTTCGATAAGCCAGCAAGACTGTAGCGACTTGTCAAGCGGGTGAAGAGAACGATAAGCTAGAGTACTTGCTATGGAGCGCTGACAGGTCGAGTGAATGGGGGTGCCATTTCTCTGCGAGTACATGTGGCGAATCTAACTGGGTGAGCTACGAGCTACCGCGGTTTGGACTTTGCAGTCCCCTAGCCTACTTATCTACCCGGGTGCAGTCTTTCATC